CTTTTCAGCTCCTGGACTGATACCTTTTATAAAGGAAAAAATGTGTTTCCTTGACTCACAGTATATAATCTCCTATCTGCCAAGTAAATGACTGAATGTGTAGATATGTTTTCCAGGTATATTTGGTTTATGTACACACATTTTAATATTTCTGACAATATAATAGTATCACAAGGTTAGTATAATATAATAATATTATATTAACTATACTTAAGGCTATAGTACTATGTTATGTTTTGATATCTAGTAGTAGATGTCTTGATGTTTTTTATTCTTCAAGATTATCTGGGTTATATTTTGTTCTCAGTGTTTTCATACACATATTTTGAATCTGTTCATGAAGAAAAATGTCCTCCTCATATTTTTATATGGATTATACTGAATTTAACAAATTAGTGTATAATTGGCTATAACTGAGACCTTTAAAATATTGAGTATTCCACAGAATTTACATTGGCATATCTGATTTAACGTTGTTTTGTTTTTGAATTTTTTCTTGTGTCAGAGTCTCACTATGTACACTAGGCTTACCTTGACTTCATGATCCTCCTGCGTAAGATTCCCAAGTGCTGGGATTATAGATATGTGTCACTATGCCTGACTCTGGTTTACAGTTTTTAAACATTTCTGTGATGAGATTTGAGAGGACCAGGTAGAGGCAGCTTAGTCGATAAGCAGTCACAGTAGTGCATGTGAGCAGATGGTGGCGGCTTGGGCAGGGAAGTGGTAGATGTAGTCAAGGGCAGTTGCATTTAGGATATCTGTTGGTCCTTTTATATTATTTATATAATATAAATCTATTTGTTGGTATCTTTTATATTGTTTATAATCCACAGGAGACTTTTCAAAATTTATAGGTATAAGTCTAGTTATAGAGTCATCTCAAACTCTATAGATGGTTCCTTAATTTTCTTCCTCTGAAAAAATGATCCTGTTTTACATTGACCCACTTGAAAAACGTGATTTTGTTGTTGTTGTTAAGGCTCACTGAAGTTCAGTGTTCTGGGCTTAGATGCTTTTTATAAGAGTTGACATTGTTGGAAATTATTTTAAAAGATTGATTTAAATGAAGAAAAAAAAGAAAAAAAATTAGTATTCCAATTCATGTTCATAGTATATCTCCAGCCTAGAGGCCTTGCATATATTCATTTAAATTTCTTTCTAGATTGTTTATTTTAATGAACTTTATTGGGCTATAATTTATACACAATAAAATATACATATTTCATTCCTTATAGTTTTGGGATGAAACCCAGTGTCTCATGCATGCTAGACATGTTCCTTTCCGCTGAGCTATGTCCGTTCTCTAGGATACTCATATTTAAACTGTATAATTCAATGTTTAAATTTGTCAACAGAATAATGACTATCAAGATACAGAAAAATTTCCTCAGCTGAACAAGTTTTTATGTTCCTTTATAATCAGAAAATCCCCAACTTTCAAGACAGACAAAAAGATCCAATTTCTATTAGTATACATTAGTTTTGCTTGTTCTAGAAGTTATCAAAATGCAGACAAACACAATACACACTTTTGTGTCTAATAGCTTTCCCTAAGCATATCTTTTGAGATTCCCCCATTATTTCTTTTATATATTTTTATTTATTATTTTTATTTCATGTGTACGAGTGTATTGCCTGCATGTATGTGAGTGCACCCTTGTTCAGTGTCGCGGACGTCAGAAGAGGGATTTGGATTCCCCTGGAACTGGAGTTAAGGATGGTTCGTAGCCGCCATATGGGTGCTGGGAATTGAACCCGGGTCCTCTGCAAAAGCTGTCAGTGTTCTTAACTGCTGAGCCATCTCTCCAGCCCCACACCCATTATTTCCTGTACTAGAAAATCATTCCTTTTATTGACTAGTATTTTTTCAAATTATTGAACACATAAAAATGTGTCTATTCATTCCATTGTTGGTATTTAAATTTCATCAACTTTGAAGCTATCGATCAAAAATGATATTTCTATGAACATTTCAGTACCGTTATTTGCAAGGAAGTATGTTTTGAATTCTGTTGGGGAAATCCTAAAGGTTGAATTCCTGGAAAAATATGATAAATGTAAGTTTAACTTTTCAAGAAATTGTCCCCTAAACACTTTAAGAGTAGTTTAACTTCTCATCAGCAATGGATGAGAGTTCTATCTGTTCTGTATACTAAGAAGTACTACAGGTTGTCAGAGTTCTCAATTTGTGCCACTTGAATGAGTTGATTGTTGTTTTATACTTGCACTATTTTAATCATTTGGTTTTTCAAATGTTTTTTCATTGCATTATTGTCCTCTTAATTAGTTTCAGTTCTTCTTTTATTTGCTTGTTATATAAGTTTTTATCAGCTGCATACACTGTAAATCTTTTCTACTTGCCTATTACTAGGTTTCTTTTTAAAAGATTGGTATTATTTTTAAATATATACATATATACATACATACATATATATATATTTGTGTGTGGTTATGTGTAAATGAGTTCAGGTGCCCAATGAAACCAAAAGAGGGCTTCAGAATCTTTAGAGCTAGAGTAACAGATGGATGTGAGCCTCCCGATGTGGGCCCTGGGAACCAAACTCTGGGTTTCTGTAGGAAGCAAGTGCTTTTAACCACTGAGACATCTCTCCACACCCCAAGTAGGTTTTTTGTTTCTTTGTTTCTTTTTTTCTTTACTTGTTTGTGTTTTGGTTCAGGAATTTGATGTATTGCCCAGGCTGTCCTTAAAATTTAGAGGCTCAAGTGATCAGCTTCTCAAGACCAGGGAATATAGGCACTCACCACCCTACCACTATGCCTTATTTCCCACTAGTCTTTTCACATTTTTTAAATTTTTATGTTTCTGCAGTGTTGAGAATTGAACCTGGAGTATCATACCTCCACAAATTCTCTAACACTGAGTTTTATTCACATCTCTCCATTTCGTTGTGTGTGTGTGTGTGTGTGTGTGTGTGTGTGTGTGATGTACACAAGTGTGTGTGTAATTATGTATGTACTTATGTTGTGGTGCACATACATGTGTGTATGATCAGAGGTTAAAATCAATGTAAGATATCTTCCTCAGTCTCCCTCTACCTATCTGGCCATCAAACCCAAGGGACCCTACTATCTCTACCTCCCCATTGCTGCAATTACGGGCACATATGTCCTAGCCCAATCTTACGTGGATGTTGAGAAGCCAAATTCGTGTCCATGTGTTTTATCGACTTTGCCATCTCCCTAATCCCTTTACTTCATTTTTAAACTATGGTTTTTAAAGGGTAGTATTTTTAATTGTGTAACTTCAAGTTCCTCTTTTTCCCTCCTTTATGATATGTCCTTTCTTTCAGTGTCCCCCAAGGAATCTTTATGTTTCCTAAGATTTTGTATTTTATTTGGAAAGTTTCATAATTTAAGTTTTTGCATTATGGCCTATGATCCATTTTGAATTAATTTGTGTAGGTAAGGGTGAAAGAAAAAGTTCCTGGAAGGATTTCCATTTGTTTCTGAGCCATTTGCTTAAGACTATACTTTCTTCATTGGATTATGTTGATATTTTTGTAAAAAGAAAATGAGCTGGCAATACATGCACAGATCTATTTCTGAACTCTTTTATGTTCCAGTTATCTAGGAACATATAGTTATTTTACCACCACATTACCATTACTATGACAACTTAAGCCTTATACTCATGTCATCAATCATCCAGATTTTAGAAATTTTTTCCACAAAATTTTCTGGGTTCTTGGTTTTTGCCTTGTAATTTTGTAAGTCTGTCAATTTATAAAGGACTGTCTCCTGGCATTTAGGGTTTGGTTACAGTAAATTAATAGATTACCTTGCAGTGTTGAAATTCAGAAAAAAGCTTATCACTGTATATATTTACATTTGTCTTACTTTTGGGTTCCTTTAATCAGTGTCTTAGTTTTTAGTGTGCAACCAGCTTCTAAATATTTCATATTTTGAAGCTGTAGTATCATAGCTTCATATAGTATCATATGGTATCATAGGTCATACTTTGACACCTCAACTTCCAATTGTTTATTATTAGCATAAAACATACAATTAGGTTTAATCATGACACTTCAACCTCCTTACATTGAATTCACAATCCTGTAACAAATTTACTGTAGATCGCTGAGGATTATTTAAATACATGGTCATTGACCTAAAGACACATACACACTTATCATTTGAAGCAGACATTTCTGAAAGAGATTTGCTCATCTTTTCATTCTGAAAATCCGACAAGGTTTTGTTGCACAGTATATTCACTGGCTCATCTCATGGAAATGCCTGACATGTCTAGGGCCCCTCACAAGAGGCGCCATCAGCTGCCCTGTCCTTTTCCAAGGTCCAAAAATAGCTGCCTGTAGAGTCTATATTTATATAATGACTTAGCAGAAGAGACAGATGGTTGGATATTTTTTACAATTTTAAACCTGTTTTTCACATAAGAGTCTGTTTTCCTGTTGTTTTTTCTTTCTTTCTTTCTTTTTTTAATGAGACAGGGTCTCCTTAACCTAGGATGGTTTTAAACCCCAGATTCTCCTACCTCAGTTTTCCAAGTGCTGGGTTTATAGGCAATAGATACCACTGCTCGTTTTTTATTTTATTTTTTAAAGATGTATACTTTTCATTTATCTCCAAAAGAACAATACAGAAAAGCATTAAAAATGTGAAAAATCCACTCAAGTTACTTTCCTGGCTCATCTTTTCCACACATTTTAGTGAAGGGAAAAATGGAAAGTTCTGGTAGCTGAAGGGACAGCAGGAGGAAAGAGGGGCATCCGTGGAGCAGAGAAGAGAAGAAAGCAATCCCCCAGAAAAGTGGAAATGACCAGCAGCCCACTTGAGAAAATACTGCCCTTTCCTGGCAGGCAAGGAAATAGCCAGGACCCCACTACGAAGGCAAAGTAGCAGGGCTCAGATTGGAGATGCCCAAGGGAACCTGCATATGAGGAAGGGGCCTAGCCATCTACCAGTGTCCCATTCAGGGCGGGAGGAGGGGGCTGGGGTCACAGGCGGAGCATTGGTGTGACGCAGCTCACGTGACTCGCCCACGCAGGCTCACACACCTCCTGGGTCCCTGGACCTGCGGTTCCCGCCCGCTTCCCCTGCACCTGCTCCTGGTGGCGCAGCTCCTGGTGGCGCAGTGATCGCGCGGCCCCGGACGGATCGGAAAGGAGACGCAGGAGAGGAGCAGGTGAGCTAGTCCAGTCGACTCGAGCAGGAAGGGTGTGCGGCCGCGGCTCGTGGAGCCCGTCCTCGTCGTCTGGGTCCAACTATTCTCAGTCCCGCTGTCGCAGCGCAGCCCCGGCCGCAGGTGTCCAACCCTGTGTGCGCAGTGGGAGGCAGGACGAGGGCGGGCCCAGGCGGAGACCCTCGGGACACCTCCAAATGCCCTGCGCCAGCTTCCCAGCCCTCCCACCCCGCCTCCCGTTTGCTGAATGGTGGTCGGGTTCGGGGATGCCGGGCAGCGCCGCAGTGGTCCTGGTTCTCACCCTGCGGTCCTCGATCTCCTCCCACCCCACCCCTGCTGTTCGCAGGTCTGAAGGACCAAGTGTCTCGGCTGCGCACCTGGCATTGAGAATCCAGAGGAGAAGGAGAAGACAAGGATAGGCCCAGGTTTGTGCAGGGGCAGTGCTGGGGGATGGGAGGGAAGGAAGCCACGTCTGCAAAGCCCAGTCTGATCTGTCAGTCCCGTCCACCGCCCAACCCCCATCCTTCACTCCCATCCCTGTCCTCCATTTTAGGGCCTACAGAGGCCTTGGAGATGGATCTGCAGGGAAAATGGTGGACTTTGGGTGAGGCGAGCTGGAATTGGGCCCTCCAGAGGGCACGAGGGGTCTCTTAGGTAGGGAAATGACTTTTGAAAGGTGCTTAGTAGGGCCTCTGTCCTCGGTGCTGATCGGTCCACTAAGAAATCCATTTCTTCTCTTGCTTCTTAGGAATAATGGAGTCTAAAGATGAACAAGGGGTGAAGAATCTCAATGTGGCCAATGTCCGTCAGGAAAGGGAGGAAAAGGAAGAGAAGCAGCAAGATGCTGATAAAAAGGAGCCGGTGGCCCTCCCTTTGGAAGCTGGCGAATACTATATCCCCAGAGGAAATCGCAGGCGATTCCGTGCTAGACAGCCCATCCTGCATTATAGATGGGATCTGATGCATAGGGTTCGAGAGCCCCAGGCAAGGATGAGAGAGGAGAATGAGGAAGAAATGTTTGGGGAGGAGGTGAGGCAGCTCATGGAGAAGTTGAGGGAAAAGCAGCTGAGCCATAGTCTGCGGGCAGTTAGCACTGACCCCCCTCACCATGATCATCATGATGAGTTTTGCCTTATGCCCTGAATTCTGAGGTTTTCTCTGAAGATAATATGGGACCCTACTTCTTAAATTTACGTGTTTCTTTTGTACTGTTGTAAAATTTTTTTATGGTACCTGTTCCCTGTGGGTCTCCACTTACTGCCAGCTTCTAACTGATATTATGTTTTTGACCCAGCCTATACTTTTGTTAGTAGAATTTATCTATTGCATGGTAAGATGCTCATTACATATTGTGGAGTTAATAAAGCAGTTTAAAAAGGCACTCTCTGAACTTTCAGTCTTTTATTTATGCGTTAATACAAAGTCATACATAAAGTAAGCATCGTTGCTCTCTGGAGGAACTTAAGTAATTGTTTTCTTTATATTCATTTTTTCAAAATGAACGCCTTTTTAAATAGTTTGATCACTTTGTGAAAACAATCTTAGAATTTTCTATGTGCTTGAAATAGAATCTCAATTTTAGTTTACCTTTGGGATACGTTACTGAGAAAATTAATTATGAGACATATTTATTTAAATACCATTATGCCAGAAGGTAAAAATAATAATCACTTCTCAGGGCTGCTGTACAGATTAGATGAGGCAATAAATATGTGAGTTTCTTCAAAGTGTTCATTCCTTTGACATGTTCATAACCTAATGCTTAGATGTTCTTTTCAGTTATTAAAGGGGTAATTCTAAGATGAAGTTTTCTCTAATCAAAGGTCCTATGCAATAAAAGATTGGTAACTTCCTTTACTGCTGACCCTATTTTCACCCTCTCCCCTCAGTGTTGTTCTGCGTACTAGCTCATGCTTCCTGCATGGAAGATGATCTCTACTGCAACAGATGTTCTCAAGTCCTCAATGTGAGAAAGTCTCACTGATTTCTCTTGAATATCCATTGTGTTTAATCTTTTTGCTCTATAAATGTGTAAATAGATCCCTCCTTGTTTATATTTTTTGGAAATCTCTTGTCTTTCTAGTTACTTTCTTTGAGACAATCATTTCCCTAGTTGAGCAGACTGCAGAAGTTGTGTGAAGGAGCAGTTCACTAAATCTGGGGCAGTCAGTTAAAACAGACCACATTCACTTGAGACTTAGGAACATACAGCATATTGTTCTATACAGAGTTGGACATCAGAAGGTCATGTTAGTGTATCAGGAGTGACCCAAATAAGTGGAGCTTTATGAAAAGCCAATAGGAAGACCACTGATGTTATGTCCTACTTGGAGATTATTAATTAAATGAAAAATGTGTGCATTTTCTATATAAAAACAGATTTGGGTTGTTTTGTAGTGCTGAGCATGGAACCTAAGGCTTTATGCATACTAGGCAAACCTGTCAATATTTTGCATAAGTAAATCTAAAATTTAGTATTCTAGAACAGACTGGCAAATAGTTCATGGCTGAATCTGGCCAGCTACTTATTTAGGGAACTATAAGAATAGTTGAACAAAAAGTATTTGTGACACCAAAAATATAGAGTTTAAATTTTGGTGACCATGGAGTTTTACTGGAGTACCAAATGCTAGTTTATTTACATGTTTTCCAGGGCTGTTTTTATATTACAGAGGCAGTGTTTAGTATTTGTGGAAGAGACGGTATAACTCACTTGCTAAGACTGTCATCTGGTCCAAATACACAGAAGTTGTCACCATTTGCCTTACAATGTAACATTATAGCAGCACTTGGGAAACAATGAGGGGAACTTAACAGGTAAGAATATCCATCATGTAACATAAAAAGCTCCAGTATAAATCACATGCCTAATTCCAAAGCCTCTTTCAGTCATTTGAAATACAAGCTATATTCATGGAAGACCATAGTTTATAGTGAGCAAGTGTTTATTTAAGAGTCTGGATACATTTTCCTATGTATCATTTCTGTACCTAGTGTAATGAACATCCTTTTCTCCATTCTTTACAAAAGGTTAGACAAATTCTGAGCTCCAAAACTCTGTCAAAGTACAGGCAGTAAGATTAGAGTTTCACAAAGAAAAAAGAATGTTCAAAAAGAGGCATGATTCTGCTCCGGTAACATATAGATCAGTATTACTGTAATCTTCTCATGTGTAAATGGGGTTTATGTGGGGCTGGAGAGATGGCTCAGCAGTTAAGAGCACTCATTGCTCTTGTTCGGTTCCTAACACCCACATGGGGGCTAACAACTCACCTGTAATTCCAGTTCAGTCCTCCGTGGGCATTGTGTGACATGGGTGCACTTACATATATGCAGAAACTACACACATACACATAAAATGAAAAATAATAAATAGAATATTTTCAAAAGGGGGGTTATGTGACAGCATAGCTTCAATACAATCAGCCTTTTATGTCTAACATGCCTTTATATAATGCAGTTGAAGTTTTTAATCTGATATAGTTTGAAAAATATTGTTGTTTTGCGTTTTTAAGACAAGTTCTTCACTCTGTAGCCCAGACTGACATAGAAATCACTATATAAGCCCAGGCTGGCCTATAAATAGCTATGTAGCCCGGTCTCAATTAGAACTCACAGTGATCCTCCTGTCTCAGCTTCCCAAATGATAGGATTACAGGTATGAGCAAACATAATTGGCCAAAAGAATATTTAAAGGCAAAAAGGGGTTTTATGTATACATATATATATATGCATATATATATTATATATAAACAAAGTGTACCATTGAGGTTTAGCTCATCAGAAGAAACTGATAAAAAAATAGAGATTTAGCACTACTGAAAAAATGACAACTAGTATAACATTTTTAGATATTTGAATATTTTTAACAACCTAGCAAAATTGAAATAATGAAAATAATATTTCATGATATTTTTGATAAAATTCATTTTTCTTAAAATATAAAAATCACTGAAGAAAATTATAAAATAAACACAAGGGTCCCTTAGTGACCAAAGAACAAGTTGTACAATGAACTTGCTTGTTTAGAGAGTGGACAAAGACAACCTAAAAAGTACACTCTGGATACAAGTGCGTGGACACTTTCATGATTAACCATCATTTAAACGTCAAGCTGCATTTATGCTTCTAATGAAAATGGAGTAAGAGACTAAGATTTCCTTTTTAACTGATATCTAAGCCTGGACAAGACATATGAAATAATAATCTTCAGTCACTGAACATCAGGCAGTGGAGGGCAACATTATCTGAGAACGGAAGTATGTATGAGCCTTATGGCTATTCACAACTATGGCATATAGTGGGATTTCTAACATCTGGCAGTAATATATATTCCAATTACATCACAAAGGCCAGAAGAGAAATGGAAATACATAATTTTAAGACTTTCACTCTATATTCAAAAGTAGATTATGATACATTCAATATATATATATACTATAACATTTAAAACAGCCACTAAAGTTACAGTTAAGCAAATAAAATCCTTAAAATATTCAATCCAAAAGTTATGGCTCAGCGGTTAAGAGCACTGACTGCTTTTGTAGAGGACCTGGATTCAATTCCCAGAACCCACGTGGACGCTAAAAACCACCTGTAACTCCAGTTCCAGGGGATCCGACTCCTTCTTCCGACTCTGTGGGCATTGTGCAACACAGGTGCACTTACACACATGCAGGCAATACACTCATACACTTAAAATAAAAATAAAATATTAAAAAATAAAATAAAAGATCATTTAAAAAAGATATATAGTGTAACCTTTAAAACAACCACTGATGTTACAGCTAAGCAAATAAAATCCTCTAAATATTTAATCCAAACTTCATTAAAGGAAAAGGAGAACAAATAGAAACAAAAAGATGGCTGATTTAAACCTGAACATATCAATGATTATATTAGTACATGGTCCAAACACCTCGGATTTAAAGTAGAGATTGCCAGATTGGATAGGAAGATATCACACAATTATATGCTGCCTATAAAAGTCTTGTTTTAAGAGTAAAAGTACTATTATATTATAAGTGAAAGGATGAGAAAAAGATTATTTTGCACTAACAAAAACAACCCAAAATGACTATATTGATATTAGGCACAATGAATTACAGAACAAAGAAGACCAGGGATAAATGAAGTCAGTACATAATTTTATGCGGTGAATTTGTCAAGAGGAAATACAATTGTAAACTTCCGTGCATTAAAATGCTTCAAAACACATGAAGCAAAATTCATGGTTTGAGCAAAAATAGACGAATCCCCAACATAAGTCAGGGATTCCAATACTGTCCCTAAAAACTGATAGACTAAGCAACCAGAAAACTCACTTCAAGATCAGCATGAACCAGTTTGGCCAATTTGATAATTCTATAACTTGTGCACAGCACATTTACCAAAGCAGTTCATATTTACTGCATGCAATAAGTCTCAATAATATTGACAGGATTCATATGATATTTGATATTTATATTTTCAGAGCATAATGGAGTTGAATGAGAAAACATTAGGAGAATGATCTATCTCTGTGAGTTCAAGGCCATCCTGGTCTACACAGTGAGCTCAAGGCCAGCTGGGGCTATAGAGAGACACTGTTTCAAAAAAACTGAAAAAAGAGAGAGAGACAATGATCTATGGAAAACGCCCAAATCTTAAAATACGAACAATTAACACATGCCTAGATAACTTATGATTCAAAGGAAAAATCAAAATGGAAACTAGGCTGTTTGCGTAGTACAGGAGTAGAGTATCTGTACAGCATTCCTGGGGCTCAGGGTTCAATCCAAGAACAGCAAAACAATTAAAAAACAGAATTAGAAGATAATTTGAGTGAAAACGAAAATTCAACATAGAATTTGTGGGATATGGCCAAAGAAACACATAAAGTGAATTTTATAGAACTAAATATAAATACTAGAATAGAAGAACGTTTTGCAACTATTAATTCATTATGTAAAATCCATCCTTCAAAGGAAATTCTAGATTGAGATGACTTTATTGGCAATACCAACTCTATATAAAATTTTCCAGAAAACTGAAGATGAGAGAATATTTATTAACTTTCCAGATGATGGGCAAAATTACCCAAATAACTAAGCTAGATACTACTACAAGAAAAAAATAATTAAAATCCAATTTTCTTCTCTCTGTCTCTGTCTCTCTGTCTCTCTGTGCACATGAGTGTGTGTAAACGTGTGTGTAGAGGTTGATGTTGGGCATCTTCCTCAGTTGCTCTCCACCTCTTATTTTTTGAGACAGGGTCTTTTGCTGAAACTGGAGCTTGCCAAGCGCGTGCGTGCACACGCATGCATGTGTGTGTGTGTGTGTGTGTGTGTGTGTTTTGCTAAGGATTAAAATTACATCCTTGTAAATGCTAAAACCAATATG